CCCCAAAACCCCAAAACCCCAAAACCCCAAAACCCCAGCTCTTAAAATTATGATTGAAATGAACAAAAGAGTTAAAATCACACTTCCAAACACTCACCACACTACTCCTGGATATCTCAACCTCCGAATCCATTTTGAGAAAGCACTGCCTGGACATACTCATCCGCAAGAACCAGGCATTTAAACGAAAACCAACTGACACTTCTCTTAAAATCCTCCGAAGAAGCTAAGCCTCAGATAAGATTTTCAAAAGCACTAATACCTTCATTCCCTTTTATTAAATGTAACCCATGGCAGTTGTCAAACCTCAAACCCTCAATTCTCGAATTTTTCAGCACAAGAGGGTAATCAGAAACCTGAAGAACTCGTAATATAGAAAAACTGAAATCGATGACCTTGAGATGCCTGAAAGCAGCCAGAATAGCCTTCAGATGTTTGTCGCTTATGTTAAAGCTTCAAAGTGATAATTCTTCGGTCACATTTGAGTTAATTTTAAGTATTTGGGGAAAATAAACTAGCATTGAGTTCCAAGAAAGTTGGGATTTTAGATACATCTTTTGTACTTCCTTTGGTCAACAAGCTGCGAAGAAGGAAGATATTTTCTTACTCTTTCTATTTAAATTTGGTACGTGCATGTCTTTAATACTAATAGTGGTGACTGGGATCATCTTTTTGTGAATCTTGGACCTTGATAATTTTGAAAACCAATTTATGTAGAGAGAGTAATTCCCACCAGGAAAGGAATAAAGTTTATAGCTCGCATTTATAGACCAATGTAGTTCATTTTCAAGTATTCTTTGTTTCTCAAAAATCATGGCTTCGGTTTCTATAACTAAAATTAAATTTTAAACATAAAATAATGAGTATAAAATCTTCACATATAAAATCAGACCCATAAAAATATTAAAAATCTATCCCCATCCCCCAACCCATCCAATCAACAACCCCAAATTCCACTAATCCCCACCTAAAACTCCATTCCTCACCCTCCCAACCCCCTCCATCCTCCCCTGCCCCAATTCCTCTTTCCCTCAAAACCCCATCCTCCCCTGCCACTTACACGTACGAGTGCCCCTACTGGGCCTCCTTAGATTTTCATTGGTGGTTTAGCTCAAATTTTATAAGAATTGGGGTTTTGGGGTTTTGGGGTTTTGGGGTTTTGGGG